TAGGAACATGAAGGTTGCTTTCTGCTTCTGTCCACGCTTGCTGAGGCTCCAGACAGATGAAGATTTAGTTTTTGCCTTTAAAGATGGACTGAAATGTCCGCTCGGGACTGCGAGCGAGGAATTGCTTTTAGATTCTCACAGGCCAGTTAAAATCGAATAAAGGGTGCTTCCAAATTTCAAGACATTTTAGTGGCTCTCGTTTATCTGAACCCGCAACACGGCGGCCATGGAGCTGGCCTCAGTGCTAAATCCACAAAAAGGGAGTAAGACATCTGCCTCACGGGAATTTAAACGCCGGCTCTGAGCTCCCAATTCATAAGGTGAGGCTACTCTCCACCAGGCGGACACTCAGTCGGGACACTTACCAGGAGGGATCAGCACACGCATTCCTGGGGCATCTGCACTGAGCAGGAGGCCACAGCTGCCTTTGGAGATAGATATAAACGATGTCCCTGGTCCCTGGCAGCGGCCTGGGCTGGGCTTACCCTGAGGGGACCTGGGAAGGTGTTCTTTAGTCTACCCCACCCCACCATCACCCCGACCCTGACTGGTGGGTTTCCTGTGGGGTAGGCTCGTGGACGGTGTGCCGCGTGCACCGTGAACAGCACACCCAGCCTCGGGCTGGTTCTCACGACTACGGACCTTAGCACTGGGGAGGTGTGGGCTCGCTGGGGGAGGGCAAAGTGATGTCAGGGCCCGGCGTGCTAGGAGGGGGTGCGGCCAGCCTCCCCCATGTCCACTCGGGGGGAGCACCCACCCTGGGATGCCGCCAGACTCCATCTTGTTGGCCACGGTGACATCGGTGGACCACACGTCGTATTGCCAGCGCTTCTGGCCCAGGACGCCCCCCAGCACTGTCCCCGTGTGCACGCCCACACGCATGTCCACCCCGGTCTGGGTCTTCTCCCGCACGTACCTGCAGGGAAACACAGAACAGCGGGCTTGGGGCCTGGCTCTTGGCCCCCCACACCCAGGGCGAGTTCCTGCCTCGCCTCTACCTGCCCCCAGCTTTCTGCCCGCATTTGAGCCGAGTGACACGAGTGAGGCCAGGGCTTGAGCTGAGGCCGAAGTCAGAGAGTCAGAGACTCCAGGCCTTCCGGGGGTGGAGATCGCCACCCAAGGACCCTCGGGTTCTTCCTTCGAATCACCCATCGACTCATGAGTGCGGCGAGCTACTCGCTGGGCCTCCAGCTGTTCCAGGCCCTATTCTAGGTGCTCACAGGGGAGGACCAGGCAGGTGTGTGGGCCTCCTCCAGCACACAGGACCCAGAAATCCGCCCGGTGGCCAGGGGAGCCTAGGTCAGGTTCTCCCCGGAATGCCAGTCCCCAGGGGCAAAGGCAGCACCCGCTCTTTGTCTGCAGATGCTGAATCTGCAGCTGGACCAAAGGCCAAGCCCAGGCAGTTCCTGAGTCCCCGCAGGGGGCAGGAGCAGCCCCCTCAGCCTTAGCGCTGCATGTCACCCTGAGACCTTTACATCCCCAAGGGGGACCCTCCATCCGGGGATGTCTGTGCCACCTGGGGTAGAGACAACGGTGGGGCCGGAGCGGGGACAACAGAGTTTAAGGAACTCATTGCTCTGGGGCCCGGTGGGGGCACAGAGACTGGAGTAGAGGCCCTGGCTGCCACCCCAGTCATGTCACTGCCACCCTTAACCTTTCTAACCCAAGAGAAGTCCCGTGCCGCTGAGCTGCCTCCCCTTCGTGGTGACTCTGCAGGACAGAATTCAGTTCACAGTGCCCCAGGATGACCAGCCCCTGCTCTTACGTTAGGGGCCCTGGTGCACTCATGATTCTCCCCGCGTCCTCTTTCTCCCTCAGAACAGTGGGAGGGCTCTGCCAACCTTTTGCCAGCAACCCGGTGTTTTCATTATGAGTGCACCAGGGCCCCTAACGTAAGAGCAAGGGCTGGTCATCCTGGGGCACTGTGAACTGAATTTTGTTCCCCCCCAAGTATGTGCTAACTTGGCCATGATCCTTGGTAGAATGTAATGGTCCCCTATTTATGACCTGATGTAATTATCCTACATGCTGTACGTCGGAACCCCTGTGCTGTGAACAAGGCGGAATCAGAGTTCATTCAGTAATGAGGCATCTACCAGGTTAGTTTGTGTCTGGTGAGCTCAGAGTGTATCCGTCTTTCAATATAAAAGAAATCAAGCAAGCAGGGAGCCATCAGGGGGACGGGCCTGCCTACTACTAAGCAATGAGAGCTAGGAGCAGAGGGTATCCTTTGCCCCCGGGGTCCCTGTGCTGAGGGCCTCATACATCCAGGGGAAAGTTGATTTCCAAGGAGCGGCGGGCCCACCGACATCGAACAGAGACAAAGATCTTCCCCAGAGCCAGCAGAGAAAGAACGCCTTCCCCTGGAGCCCGAATTCAGACTCCCAGCCTCCTGAGCACCGAGAACAAACTTCTGCCAGTAAAGCCGCCCACGTGTGGTTCTATCAGTCAGAGCAGCATCAGGCGAGGAAGACAGAAGTCGAGTTGAGAAAAAACAGAAGGAACAAGAGGACACCGGGGTCAGGGGTGGGGTGTCAATGCCTCCTGCAGATGTGGGCAGGGTGACAAATTTTCGGACACTGCAGCTTCCAGCATAAACAGACACATGGGGGACAAAGGCTGGGCAAGACCCCACAGAGAATGGAGAAGTCCTGCCCATTCAGCTGTGACGGAATTGGGGGCACAACTGCACTTCCCAGGGCCCAGAACGGAGCGACCTAACACGATACCTTGGTGGGCCAGCACTACACCCCCGGGTGGCTCCCTCCCCGGGGACTGTGGGGTGTTCTGGGCCCGACAGGCCAGCCCCCAGGGGCTGCTGCTTCAGGAGGCCAGAACCAGTGCTCAGAGAGTGTGGTAGTTTCTCTGTGACAACGTGGCTCCCGTAGGCGGAGTGTAGCCTGACAATCTGGTTGCAGCTGAATTAGAGGATGACAGATACATGGCTCTCCAAAGCCTGCCTCTTCCTCTTTCTCCCCGGAAGTGGGCCACACACACTCTCTCGCTCTGCCTTCCCCTTCCTGCTGTTGGGTCACTCGGAGAGCTGCC